CGGTTGTCACCTTGCTCCTGCTGGTGGCAGAGGGACCTCCAGGTGTGTGACCTGAGCTGAGACCGACGGGTGCCCAGCAGGTGTGTGCTGAGCAGGATGGGAGAGGGCGGTGAGCCGCCCCGCACAGCAGCCACCAGGGTGGGGTCCACCTCTGAACCCCCAGAATGCGGGGCAGCGCCTGGCACAGGCCAGTGCCCTGGCCATCCTTGTGGGAACAGAATGGAGAGCGGCTGTCCCAGGGTGGATCTCCTCCGCCGGGGGCCAGCAGCCTGGGCCGCCAGCACCCACCGTCCAAAGGAGGAAAGAGGTCCCCAGGGACCTCAGGTCTGCACCCAAGTTGCACCAAGAGTAACCAGTGTTACACGTTTACTATTCTCTTTGTGGTGTCTTCCCTGCCTGAGGACAAGGACTCCACCCTCCAGAGGCCATCATTTGCTGGTCAGTGGGGGAGAAGGCAGAAGAGGAAGGTACCACCGGATCTCTAGTGCGCTCGCGGCTTAGAGCTCCCTGCCCAGGGCACAACCAAGGCTCAGAAAGGGATGGCTGCCCCCTGGGTCACCCAGCACTCAAGGAAGAGCCGGGGCTGGCAAACTGCAGAGGCCAGCTGCCGGAGGGCTCAGGGAGGAGGTGGGCAGGGTGCTGGAGAAGGGGGCAGAGCAGCCAGCACCTCCACACTGCCCCAGCTCTGGTCTCTCTTCATGGCCCCGGGTTGTCCTGCTCCTCTTACCGCCCGCCTTTCCCGAGACAGGTAGGCCACCCCTTTGCTCTGTACAGAGTGAAGAGTCTTCTGCAGAGGACGAGCAGCAGAACCCCAGGGGAACTCATCTCCGCAGCCTCCAGGACCCAGGGCCCTTGAACCTTCCATCTGTACCGTTCAGAAACCTGAACTCTCCCAAGCGCTCCGTCGCCCGGCGGCAGGAGGTCAGCAGGCCAAGAGGGACGGGTGCCTGCCCTTGACTTCTGCCCTGTCCTGCCCTGCCCAGCCAGCACGCACCCCCGACCTCTGCTCCTTCTCTTCCTGCCCACAGTGGAACCCAACCTGCTGACCTCTCACCTCTCAGCTGATCAGTGCCCTGATGGCCTCCCTCCCCAGCCGGGCGCTGCTGACCTGGCCCAGAAACCTCCCCGTCCTTCCTCCCACCCTCAGTGCCTCTGTGATAGGCACCTGTGCTCTGGCCTCAAACCACCTGCTACTTTCCAACAGGATGTGCTTTCTTGCCTCGGGGACTCTGCCTGTGTCATGCCCTTTGCCCAGTAGCCTGCGAGCACACGCACTGGGTCCTGAGACTTGGGGCACCCTGCACCCTCGACCTCTCCTCCCCAAGAGGCCCCACCCCCACGGCTCCCACCCCAGCTTCCCTCCCTCCTCCGTAGGCCTCACACTCACGGGGGGCGGGGGCAGGAATGCACCTCTAATTCTGGACACCCCCCACACGGAGCACCCTGGGCCTCCTGGAACCTAAGGGCCATCCTGCTGTCGTTGGTGTCGAAGGCATGAGCTGGCCAAGGAGCGCGGGGCGACCCCCAGCGCTCAACACAGCAGGAAAACTGTGGGAGCCAAGTGCCGCTCGGGAGGCTGAGGCAGGATGATCCAAAGTTTGAGGCCAGCCTCAGCAGCTTAGTGAGGCCCTGTCTCAAAATAAAAAAATAAAAAGGGCTGGGGAAGTGGCTCCGTGGTTAAGCACCCCTGGGTTCAATTCCTGGTACCAAGTAAAATCTGTTTGTTGGGGGTGAGGAGGGGCGTGGATCCTGGTGGAGCGCTTGCCTGGCGGCCCTGGCCCCGGTTCCCTCCCCTCAGTGCACCCTGGGCTTCCTCTTCCCCCTCGCATTCCAGCCACAGAAACACTTTCTCCTTTCCCCATCTCCCAGCTCCTCTTTGACTTCCCGAATCCTGCACATCCTCTGCTCTCCCTGTGCAGACTTCTCCCTTCAGGACCCAGTGCCTGTGTGCCCTTTTCCATGAAGCCTCCCAACACCTGGGCTGACTCCTTTGCTATTTGAGCATCTGGGCTCTGCCTCCTAGCCCGACTCAGAGCTCTCTGCAAGCAGAGAAAGATTCCTCTTTAGAGTCACATTCTCAACATGAATCGTGACTCCTAAACAGGTCGCGATGGGAGCAACGGGAACAGATTTCTTAAATGTTTTCTGCTGCAGCTTAGTCTTTCACTTACATCCCCGGATCAAAAGCAGGCTCTGGGAAGCCTTCAGCCCCACAGACGGGCCCCACGGCTGCAGCTCCGCTGGGAGTCTTCACTTATCACAGTCACAAATGACTCGGGGACGACTCTGTGGGTAAATCTTGTTGTCTTCTGGGATGATTTCTTTGGTAGAAACTCCCCGAGGTGCAATGACTAGGTCGGAACAGGCATCATTTGTAAACTCATCCCTGGGCACAAGTCCCCAAAGCGCACCCAGGGAATAGCAGCAAGAGGGTGGGCCACTCACGAGGAAGAACTCGTTCCTTTGATTCTATCTTGGTGTATTCTGTGGCCCAGGCTGGCCTTGAACTCCTGGGCTCAAGAGATCCTCCCTCCTCAGCCTTCTGAGGAGCTACTGCCACAAAGTCACCACTCCTGAGTTAAACTCCTTTCTTATTTTTTAAAATTATTGTATTTTTATACCTTTATTTGTTTATTTTTATGTGATGCTGAGGGTCCAACCCAGTGCCTTCCACGTGCTAGGCAAGCGCTCCCCCACTGAGCTGCACCCCAACCCTCTTATACTCAATCTCAGTCGGTAATTCGGAGCAAAGAATACCATCATCTTACTGTCCTCCGCTGGAACGGGTTTTGGGCATAAGTGTGTCCAGGGTGGGCAAACCCTGACCATGGGCCTAACTGAGCCCCTTGCCTTGTACCATGGGACTGGCAAGCTACCAAAGGTCGCTTCCCTTTTCAAACGGTGAAAATTATTTTGCAACACGTGAAAATCATGGGAAATCCGTATTGCAGCATCCATAAATGAAGCTTTATTGGAACACTGTCACCCAGTCACTTACAGATCACTCAGGAGGCTTTGAAACCTTTAGCAAAGCTGAAGAGTTGGGACATGAACCCCATGTGTCGTACAGCTGAAAGTACTGACTAGCTGTAAACGGGTCTGTGCAGAACAAGTTCGTCACTCCGCCCCAGCCCACCCTTGAATCATATGATGATCACTCAGCTGACCATCATATCATCAGGAGGAGAAAACTGTGAAGAAACACTTCTGTGTGTGTGTGTGTGTGTGTGTGTGTGTGTGCTGGGGATGGAGTCCAGGGCCTCACACATGCTAGGCACATGCTCTACCACTCAGCTACACCCCCAGCCCTTTTTATTTTATGTTGAGGTTTGCTTAGTTGCTGAAACTGGCCTCAAGCTTGTGATCCTCCTGCCTCAGCCTCCAGAGTCACTAGGATGATCAGTGTGCCCCACTGAGCCCAATGAGGGAACCCTCTAACCCAGCTAAGATTCCGCTCCTCGACTGCTAACTCTTTTGATCTCTCAGCATCAAAAACAGGGTTAATCCCAGGAAAGCCGAGATAAGTCCATCACCCTGGGCTGGGCACACACTCTTCTCCTCTGGGAAGTCTTAACCCCCGCCCCCACCGTGAGGCCTCCCGGGCACCTTCACAGTGGTCTCCGAGCCCTGCACAGAAGAGACCCCTGTACTTGCACCAGGGAACAGAGCAGGTCATTCCCAGAGGTGCAGGTCCCAGACAAGACTCTTTCCCAATCTCTGTCATGACTTGGGAACGCTGGAGACCTGCCGTGGCCTTCGGGGGGTCATGGGTGGGCTAGAGGAGGAGTGCAAGGCTCCACCCTCCGACTCCGGGGGCACCCTGTGGGGATGGGCCCCTCAGAGAACATTTGGGACCGTCCAGGAGATGCAGACAGGAGAGTCCCGGAACCCCACTCCTCTCCCTCGCCTCTGATGAGCGGCACATTGGTCCCCTTCCCAGGATACCGATGGGACAACTGAGGACCAGAAGGGCCTCCCCAGCCCTGGGGGAGCGAGCTCAGGGGGTCAGGAGGAGCCCCGGGTCTCGCCTCCGGCTCCTGGAAGCCACTCGGCCGAAGCTAACACGGTCAGAACCAGCCTGGGCAGCCTGAACGGAGCGCCCCGCACTTTTTAGTCCCCAAAAGTCTCCTAGAGTTGCCAAGTCCAGGCTCCCCCGGCTGGAAGAGCCAGCCGAGCCCAAGCAGGGGAAGGTGGGGTGAACGCCGGGCTAGCCCACGTCCTGCGTCACCCCGGACAGCTCTGGCACACAGCAAGCGCCGGTGAAGCCCGTGTTCACAGGGTGCAGAGCCGAGCACCGCCTGCCTGCCCACCAGCCCAGCGGCAGCAGCCAGGCACCAGGCCCTGCTCAGGAAGAGCTCAGCATAGCCTTTCCATGACTGCTCCCGTCTCTCAAGCTTTGGTTCAATGTCATGGTCATTTACCCGTCCATGATTCTTAAGCACTTCCAATGTTGTGCCATAGCACAGTCTGTGGGGCCGGTGACTGAACAACTCACTATGCCCGGCACCGAGGGGGTTTCTGGAAGGTGAAAGTTTCAGTGCTAAAAATAGGATAATCCCAGGAATACAAATGATTTGTCTGAGCTGGAAGAGCCATGAGAACCAGCCAGCCACAGTCACCTCCTGCAGGAAGCCTTCCCTGATCCACCTTGACTGACTCAGAGGCCTCCTCTGGGTATCCTCACAGCTGCCTCTGTGCCCCCCATCACAGCACCATCCTCCTGGGTGGCAGACGCCTGAAGTCATCTCGGTGCTCTCTGCTCAGAGCAGAGGCCTGCTCCCTGCCTGGCTCTGCTGCCTTTCCTATCGCGGAGGTTGATGCCAAATAAAGACAAAATCAATGAATGAAAGCCGACACTCCCAGCCCAAGTGAGGAGAAGACGGAGCCACGACAGGCAAACTGCTCGAGCCAGATTCCCCAGACAGGATGTGGAGAAGCCAGGCTTTGAACTCGCACCCCAGGAGGCTCCCTCCCGCCCACAGGGCGCCGTGGGTCCTCACCGTGTTGTAGAACTCGGCCACCAGCTGTGAGTACTGGAAGTTGCTCTCACACCAGTCCACCTCGGAGCTCTGGTACGCCAAGATGCTGGGCATCCTGGCCCAGCCACTGCCACCTGCTCACTGCGCCTGGCACCGACGGGCGGCAGAGCCAGGGAGCCCGGGAGGCCCGGCCCAGGTGAGGCGGGAGAGGACGGCCCGTGCCCCGCGGCAGGCCAAGAGGAAAAACCTGCTGGGCAGCTCCCCGGTTGCGCCAGGGCAGCCTGGCGGATGCTGCGCAGAGACAGTGGTGGCCTTGGGCACCAACCACGGAGCTGCTGCTGCTGGGGGCGGGGGGCGCAGGTGAGCAGGGAGGAGGCCTCCCATCCCGGCTCCTAAGGAGCAGAAGTTGGGGGCCATGGCTGTTCAGAACGGTAATAAGGACAAGAGGTCACCGTGGTGGGTGCGCCACACTCTCCGTTTCACAGATGAGCAAGCTGAGGCGGAGGGAGAAGCCACTTGGTGGCAAAAACCAGGCTGAACCTCAGACCCCTAACCATTAGACTTTACTGCCTGGGCGCCATTGGAAGCCCTGCACGGGGCAGCGGCTGGACACCCCCTCCAATGGGCTCGGCTCAGAGGGACAGAGCCCTTGGTTAGGAGATGCCATCCTACCATCTCCCCTCCAGGAGCTCTGTTTTCCCGTCCGTGCTGCGGGACGTTGGGCGGGATGGAAGCCATTTCTCCTGGTGGTCAAGGCCTCGTGCGCACTGGGTGGTGGCCTGCAGCTGTAGTCCCCACTCCGAGGAGATGAGGCCGGAGGATTGCAAGTTTGAGGCCAGCCTGAGCAGCCTGGATCTCACTGGTCTTACAATATCAGAAAGCGGAGTGGTGGGGGGTGCTGCTC